TGGGGGAGGAAAACGAATGTGAATGGACCTTTATTTATTTATTCTTTATCTCAGATCTGGATGAGTTTCTGATTTTCGAATCTCTAACAATTTCCAGTTTTAGACAGAAATCTCGAATGGCTTTCAGAGATTTAAGTCTGGCAATGGGTTCGAGAAGACTCAACTGAAAATTGAGTTTCTGATTTTCGAATCTCTAACAATTTCCAGAGTTGTAGACAGAAATCTCGAAAGGTTTTCAGAGATTTAAGTTTTGCAATGGGTTCGACAAGACTTAACTGAAAATTGATAAGACGTTGCCATGGACAGAGTTACTGGTAAACCATAAGCTTTTTTTTTTTTTTCAAAATCTCCAACAGTTTCCGGAGTTTTAGACAGAAATGCCGAATTTCTAATGGCTTTTGGAGATTTAGGTCTGGTGATGGGTTCAAGAAGATTCAACTAACGGAATATCCAAAAATGATGTTTTTCAACACTCGTAAACATTTTTGACCTACTGTAACTGTTTTAATATTATATTTCAAATGTAACCCCTACTTCATCCCAAAATAAAATACAACTCGTGTGTTTAAAAATAAGACTAATTTGATTATGTGAAATAACTGCTGAGTATTTCATCTTTATTCTTAAAACAACTATTTATTACAATCACATTTCTTTTTTCAAAACTTCATGCAAACGCAAACACCATAAAACCTATAGTTATAACAAAATTGAGAAATACAAAACACACACATACATATATAACAATTTGGCAAGGAAAAGGCCTCCAGTTTTGAAAATTCATGACATTTAATTTTCGTTTTATTACAATAGCCAAAACATTACTACAGTTGCTTTTTAAACTGAAATTTTTGTATCGTTGCACCTCTTCTGATAGATATATCCTTCAATTTGGTGTTCTTGATTTCAGATTGGTTAATATCACTAGTACTGAGTTTTTTTTTTTTTTTTAAATATCTATTAACTCTTTTGCAGTCCTTTCAATTAGAAAATAATCTTCTTACTCGCAAGCTGCCAGATAGTAAATATCTTCTATATTATTTGATAGAAATGAAGTCACTAGATAGTTAAATAATGTAAGAACATTGAAGCTAATATAAAAATATAATTTTACAAAATTTCCTAGTAATCAACTGTATACTGTACTTTGAAAATAAAATAAACTTCGATTAATTTGGGTAAATAATTATTTTATATCATAAATTATATAAAGACAAAAGAAACTAAACATAAACAGCAAGACCGATTTGAGGTAACTGAATTTTAGTGTATGAAACGAATATTTCCCATACAACATTGAACATAAAATTTAGTATGTTTTCTGATTGAAAGCCTGTCGCTAAAACTTATTTACTTCTTTTCTCTCATATTGTGTTACTATAGTAATTGTCACTTTGATATACCTATTAAGATTATTTTGAGTTTAATAGGAGCGACACATAAGCCCAGTTCAGCCTGTATAATACCCTCATCACAACCAAAATTTGTCTACAAATCCAATAATGCATATAAAATTTACTAAACTACAAAATAGGCTTGGACTAGCATTATTGGATTTTAATACATGACGGTAAAGTTTGTATTTACAAATGTCAAGTGGATATCAGCAAAACACATACTGCAGTTTGTATAATACAACAAAAATATATAGTCGAAATATAAACACAATGCAGCAAGATTTCTGTAACCAGATGAGAAAGATAAATTTTCAAAACTAGATGCCATGAAGGACATGAGTTTACATACACAAATAATGCAGGGAGTAAAAACACTTATATTGCTTTAAAGCAAAGGTGTTCTAAGCAATTTAAATTTACATTATTGTCTTATAAAAAGTATGCAGAGATTCTACTATATACTGATAAACACTGTGTATAAACATTATAATTTACAACAAGGAATTATAAAAAACACTTAATCCAAAACATCTTAATATAGATCTTCAAATTTCAAGTGTACTTTAAAGAATTAAATATTTAGTATACAAGAAATTTTTCATTTGCTAAGCTTTACTTTTTAAAACTATTAACAACACTTTGCTTTAATGAGTACACGATTTTGTTATCACTTGCTTCAGACCTATGAAATATTAACAATCATAATATATTTAAAGGTACTTCCTTATTAAATTTCTTTCTTTTTTGCATATAATTTTGAGCTGCACTCTTATTATTATTTGTTGGTTTAAATATCTTCATTACAAGAGAGAATTTTAAAGATGCAAAACCAAATGCTGCATTTACATAATTGAGGTACTCAATTATTTCAATTAGTTATTTCAATTAATTACTTATTTCAATTTTTTTTTAAAAAAACCTTAATTTTAATTATTTATAATATTAAAAAATAATCTATATTTAACAACAAGTAAGCATCTTGTTTTTTGTTACTTTTCGAGATATCTATTATACTTTCAAATGATTGATGTCCTTGACTTCATTGTGTGACCTGTCTGAAATCATAATAGGAAGTACCCATGTACATATTTTATGCTTTCAAAATATTAAGTAACATCTAAGTACACAGACAAAAAGTACTTTGATATACAGCAAAACTTTTTTTTTCAAAAACATTCAAAGCAGTGAAGTAATTTCCTAATATATCTTTTTACATTAATTTACTTGTTATTTACAAACATGTTTCCTTTTTTAAAGATTTTTCATTTTATTTTCAAACGTAAATTTGTTTTCTAAGAATACAATATTAATAAATATATATTTTTATGTTTTCAAACGAACAGAGAAAGTTTCATTTAACTTTAAACACATCCAAAATTTATCAAAGGTAATCAACCACACTAAACTAGAGCCTTGAAAAGAATGTGTATATTATGATAGCTATGTTTTGCAAAATATTTTACACTGAATATTAAATTTTTTCTCCGTTTATAACATTAAGAAAACTAGAGAGAATGTTAATAAAATCTAAAGCCCATTTAGCAAAACAGTTGTAGCATATATATCAATTATGCATTGATGATTTGATAATTTAACATGAAAAAACAACCCATTATTTCCCATTCCACCTACTGATCCATTTTAAAGCAATCAAACGTATAATTCTTTTATTATTGTTCTTTTTAAAGCAATCAAACTCATCAATTTTTTAATATTCACAAATCTACATCTTTAATTTTGCTTGTTAAGAGAAATACACACAGCAATATTCAGCATTAAAGATCAATAAATGGTTAATTGCATTCTCAGGGGTTTATCCAGGTCGAATTTACTACCGGTTAGCGGTACCTTCACAAATTCAACTTTAGGAAAAATGGTAGTTTCACAAATTCACCTTTAGGAAAAACGGTGGTTTCACAAAGTACTTTTTCTTAAAATTTTATTTTTGTATCCCTTACGAAACAATAAATTCATATTTTTACCATATTTTTGTGTTGATTTTTTAATATAATTTGTAATTTTTCGAAATTATGTCTAAATTTTCAGAAAATAGGTACCTCTCAGAAAAACCTAGACAGACCCCTGATTCTATATCATACCAAAGCACATTTGTTTATCAAATTTGTTCGTTCTTATGATAATGTATAATTTGTAACACAGCAGATGGTGTTCTACTTTAAATCTTCAATGTTTGCTGAGCAGCATTTGTACTTAATTAGTTTTTATAAATTAAATAGAATTTATGTTCAAGCATTTTTTAACAATTTCATTGCAAACAAAAAGAGAAAAATTTAATTTGAAAATTTTGACAAATTAAAATAAAAAGTAAAAATCTGCAGAATCTCTTTTAAATACAAAATGTTTAATTTAAAAAAGTAAAATACAAATTGTTAATCTATTTTTAAAATATTTTTAATATACTAGAAAATATGCCCCTTGAAATATTTGCTCCAACTTAAAGATGCTTATGGCAACAGATAAAGTTTTAAATTAAACAGGCATTTTCTTCAGTACTTGACAAAAGCAAGAAGAGAAGAGTTAATTGTTAATTTAATACAATATCTTTTACACCTTTAAATCTTTTAAATATATTTGAGAATTCCTGTCTCTTTTTTAAAGTAAAATATTTCAATATTTAACTTAAAAATTCATATTACAGTTAGAAAGTACACATTAAAAATAGAAGAACAAACATTTTATTGCACAGATTTAACGCAGGTTCAATTATCTGGTGTTGAAGGATTACAAAATAAAACAGTGGTGATATTACAGTTTTTTTTTCTTTTGTTTTAATTAGTTTAGATGTAAAGGAACATTTCATACAAATTTTGTCAAAGTGAAATCAATTCCATGAATGTATTAAAAATTATTAAATTAAAAATGGTTTTTTCAATTATCTACATTTAAAAAAAAATAATACACTACACCAGGGCTAAAAATAACTAGTTAGAAATAGAAATGAATAGATATCAAACTAGCAAATAAAAAGTGATTTTTTTTTCATTGAAAGTTACATAATTTTGAGTAACGACAATCTAATTCCATTAAAACATTGTAACAGTTATCTTAAAATTCCGAAACATAACTACATACAATGCTTCTGAAATTGGCTTTAATCATTGAAGCATATTGACTAATACAAACATATTTTAAAAAATATAGTAAGAAATATTTTTCGAGCAAATTTGTTTTTCTAGGTAACTTTTAGCAATTGGAAGATTTAATATTTATCCTATTAAAAAGGGACTTCCAAGTAGCAGCAACTGTAATTATAAAAGTGTTATTTAGGTATAGTAATATAGCTATGCCCACCACAAGCTAAGACTACTTGCATCTTCACCTCATGAAAAACTGTTAACTTCTATCTCAAAAATGGTAGAAGAAAAGGGAGAAAGGTGAATTACAAAGCTGCAGAGAATTGATTTAGTATGAATATGCACACTGTAGATATTTATGCTAAGAAAATAACGCTTAAAAAGCATATTTGTTGGTATGTTTACATTGTCAAAAGATGAAAAAAAATTATTATACACCCAAGATACCTTTATTTTTTATGTACAAATTTTAAGTATAAACACTCAAAAAATTAAAAGTATCTTGTAATTTTTTTTTATTATTATTATTTTACTCCTAAATTACTTTGCAAATACTGCATGCATCACATTTAAAATTTCCTTTTTTCTCAATTCTTTGCCTTAACCTCCATAAAGTGTCTATTTGTATTAAATCAATGATGCTTTACAACTTTGTAATTAACTTTTTTTTTCCAGATATTTCATACCATTTTTAGATTAAAAATTAACCCGGCAGTCTTTCCTTAGGTTCATTAAAAGCAACCATCTTTTAGTGTACATTACTATACTTACACACCACTGTTACAAATATTGCTGTAGCAGTTTGAAAATTAAGAGGGTAGATATGGACATTAATGAGTTCCCATTCACATCTTTTTTTTTTTTCTTTTTAATATTACAACCGCCCTGAGATTTAAATTAAAAATGTTATTTTGTACCCTGGGCACAAAGAAAGAAAAAAAAAGACTTATTACAATGATGAACAATATATATCACACAACACTAAAAAGAAAGGACATTGCACTCCCCACAGAGAAAGTGTGAACACATCATTCTTTAAAATCTGCATGATACTCATTGCAATTACAGTTCATGTTTCAGGTAGGTATGCCAGATTTTGGATGGATAAAGTTAACTAGAATGATGTTTAGAGCACACCCAAAAGGAAAAAGAGAACAAAAAGAACACTGAGGGCAATGACACTGCATCAAACAAATGTAAAACTACACTATAAAAAATTAAATAATAACAAAGACAGGAAAAAAATTAACTTAACGTTTTCTCTCTTTCATAAAAAAACATGGGATTGGAAACACCAAAGGGCAGAGATTCCAACAAGTTATTATCACAGATGAATTTTCATCATCAACATCTACAGTTCTCAAAAAAACAATAATGCTCACATTCGAGAGGCTTTTTGTTGTATAACCTGAAATGTAAATGACATTGTTAGTCTCACACTTGAAATGTTTTTAAACATTTTAGTTTAGCAATATTTTTAGATTCACTGCTAAAAAACACGGGAATTAAAAGAAAATGCGATAAAATACATAATCAATATCTATTTCAGAAATTTTAAAAATTGGGATCCTTTGAAAAACATATTATGATAAACTCGATTTAAAAATATTAAATAGTTTGCAATCATATCTGAAATCATATAGGCGATTGGAACATAAACAATACTCCTTTACAATCCTTACTCAAGAAAATATTAAATATCCTTCAATGTATAATTAAAAGTTTTAATAGTGGAAAACTTTAATAGTGGGTATAATTAAAAGTTTTAATAGTGGGGCTTCAGAAAAGAAAAAATCATCATAGGAAAATAAACTATAAAATATAGGATGGATAATTTTTGCATAAATGTTAGTGTTTTAAGCACTAAAATTTTCTTATCAAAAAAATTAGCAATATATTTCCAGAAAATTAAATATACTTAATTCTTAAAATTCATTCAAATGTGGAAAAAAAATATTTTTCTAAAAGTAAATTCCTTTTTATCAATAATTGATTTATATATATATATATATATTGATAAAAAAAGAATTTTTTTTTAAAAAACACAAGTAGTATTTTTTCAAAAAACTAAAAATTAACCAGCATCGTAGGATTTAATATTTATTTAGTATTATATTTCAGATATTACTTCTATTTCTTAAATTATTAGAGGTTTCATGAATTTTAAATAGGAAACTTTTTCTTTTTCAGTTTTTCCAAAAAACCACTTTATAAATGAAATAAGTAAATAATATAAGCAAGGACATAAAAATTCGAAACATACTTTGGCTCGATCGGTTGGTTCAAAGTCTGAAGAAATCGAAGATGTGCCACAATACTCTCGAGAAACAACACATAGAAACTCAGCATGGTCTTCATTGCCATAGTTGTAGGAGGAACCAATATTAATAAGCTAATAAAAAAATAAGTAATAAAAAATTAAAAAGGAATAATTAATAAAAAAAGTTCAAAAATATATATTTGAAAGAGAGGAGGTCATTTTAGAAAGAGTTTAGGTCCATTAATAGACTTTTCTAAAAATTTCACAACCTCAAAATGGATCGTTCACAAAACAGTTTATTGTATCCCCCCCCCAAAAAAAATTTCATTTTTAAATTTGTCCCTTCACAATCTTTTTTCATAAATGGACCCTTAACAAAACTTTTATTTGAAAAATTGATTGATGGCACATAATTTCATAATTTTAAAACTAAAACCCTTAAAAGACATGGTTTTTGTGGCATTTTTTCATAAAACCATCACCTTATTTTCACATATTCTTAAAAACAGAACCCCATGCTACAGTAATTATTTCAGAATTATGAGTAGTTTTCCACTAATAAATAAAAACAGGACCCTTAACAAAGAATCCACTGGTTATGATTTTCCCAGAAGCACAAAAATAAATCCCTATTTTAACAAAGACACAAAATAGTGAGATTTTTTTACATTTTTAAGAAAAAAAAGGATTTTTATAAAAATCTTAAAAATTAACAGCTCAATTTCATTAAAACTAAAGATCATTGAATAACAGTACAATCATTACAGTGACCTTCCAGTATAATGACCTATTCTTATTCTACAGATTTAAAGTTTTATATTTAATATTCATTATAATATAGTGTCTGAAATTAAATTTCTTTATTCCATAAGACAATAGTAAAATATATACAATTGTTATTTCCAATAACAATAATTATACTAAAACAGAAAAATAAATTATAAATACATAAAAAATCTAAATCTTAAAACTAAATTTGTCATCATTTCTATTTTCCTTGTATCGGTTTTTCTTTTATTGGTTGATTCCAACCTCTAATCAGATTATAATTCAGCATATAAATTATGGCTAAAAAGCAGCATTTGTAAAACCACATAGCTTTATTAGCCAAAAATGATTATATAATAGTGATATCACAAGTACCAAACTCTAATTACATACTGTTAATACAAATCACTTATTCAGCAATGTATAAGTGAATTATATTAATAATATGTTTTTATTCGAGTAACACCAACAGGGATGAGATTAGCCAAAAGGCAAAAAAGCTGAATTTCCACGATAATAAATTTTACGCAAGCGCAACTCTTTAATAATAAATTCCAGACAGTTTAAGGTAATAAATAATGTGTTGACATACAATTGCGTACTAATCTATTATTATAAAAACGACTACATTGATACTTAACATTTAGTGAAAATAAAAATTACCAATTGAAAAAATAAAGCTGGANCGTTTGAACTACAAAAATCGGATCTATCTGGAGGGCGGGTAAAAAATTCGGAAAATCTTATCTGCTGCGAGTAAAAGGGGAGAAAATAGCTTAAATAAGTAAAAATGAGAAAGGATTGGTAGCTATGTAGTTTGAATTTTGTGTTTCTCTTTGAAAATGGGTGAGTTTTCTGAAAAAGCGGAATACTTATAAAAAAAAGTGAAATTTTTAGAAAAATCTGAATTTTTGATAAAAAAAGGCTGAAATTCAAGAGATAAAAGTGAAAAAAGCGGAAATCAGCTAAAAAGCGGAAAAATCTCATCCCTGCACCAAGGAAAGTTACTAGTTTATAACATAACTACACTAAATTAATTTTTATTGATAAGTTTCAGTCAGTACAGGAAAGTTTAGTCAAAATCTATAATTGTTTTACAATAAATAAAAACATAGAATCTTTAAAAAATTTTAGATTTTTTAAAAAGTTTAAATATATTTCTCATTTATAAATATATTTCTTATTTTATCATTTTTTTTTCTAAATAATTATATATATTTTATAATTACAGATCATAGATGATTTCTCATCATTGTAAATTATTTCAGTTAAAAGTTATCTTTTACAAAAAACATAAATACATATTGTTGTGCACATCACTAGGAAGAAAAATAGAAGAGAAATTAGTTAAAAAAATTTGTATCTTATTAACAGGGTTTAGAAGAACTTATTTAAGCATGCACAAAATAAAAGCATAAAGTAATGTCATATTACCTGCACGAATTTCCAGCCATCAGAGAGAGTGGACACCATTTGAGTCAACTCATCTTCATGACATTGTAGGACTCTGTATACATGTTTTCTTGAATCATTCTGTAGCAAATACAAAAATGTCAGTCTTACATAAACCCATGGATTTTGTATAATTTACTTTGAATTTTTAACACAAGCATGAATACAGCTATAGGAGTCTACAAAAGTACTAACTGCATACTATAGAATGGAATGCTTTTAGTCCTTTTTAATTATGTAAAGGCAGTTATTTTTAATTTAATATTAAATACAATAAATAATAAAAAATAAATTGAGGCATAGGTAAAGATGTAACTTGTACAAGTAATGAGATAATCCAGATTGGTAAAAGCGAATTTTAAGAATGTTTAGATAATATTATGACTAAAAACTTTTTCTCTCATAAAAATAGGTTTAAAAAATTTATTAAATTTTACTATGCACTGTGCAAGCTATGATCATTAGAACCAGGGTGATCAGAGGCACCAGAGATTCGCAAATAAATTTAATGACTAAAACTAATACAATTACAAAATTAGCAGATGATACACCTTAGAGGTACTTACATGTATTTCAAGTCAAAAATAAAATATTATTTAATTTTTGACTTTATGACGCACAAAATTTTACAAGCTCAAGATAAAGAGTAAAAATTTAACAATAATTCTTGTAGAAAATAAGGTATGATACATTTCATAATACAGGATGACTTTCAGAAAACACTGAGTAACTCTTAAATTCTTATTGAAAGAGTTTTTACACAGTAACAATCAAAAGCAAAAGTTAGCATTACATTAATTGTGAATAAATTAAAAATAAGCAGACACATCAAATTTACCTCAAAATATTTTCCTTAAATTCTACAAAGAATTTCCTATCAATACTATCCTGAGTTAATTTCAGATAACTTTTAAAAAGAGGCATTTTAAAAATAAAAAACCAGTTAGGAAAATTTTTTTCCTTGGTTAAAAACACATTGTCCTTGATAATTCGAATTAGCTTTACTTCTTTTGTATGGATTTATCATTGAAAAAAATTAATTTCTGGTTCCAAAACCTTTTAACTAAGCCAAATATTATTTTAAGCTTAAGCGAATCTTACCATCAAAATATTGCCCCTCAATCTTCTAATTTTTTTTTTTTTTTTTTAGTTTCGATTCCCTACTCCTTTTTTTTTAAGTTATCATTGAAGAACTGAATGTAATATAATACTAGAAATGTGATACTACAGGAAAAATTTGCAACAATTATATAAAAAAACATACAAGCTTCGAATTTTATTCATAGTTTTCTTTAGCCATAAATGTTTCGACAGGGTATCAGCCTAAAAACTTCAGCCAATAACTTTACACGACTTACACAAGATAATACATAATTCAATTCAGTCAACAAAAACAACAACAAAAATTGCCCAAACGAGTTTAATTTTGTCCTTAAAAATAATATTATTTTATCTGAGCAAAGCTTTGCCAATTTAAATACAAGCAGCAAAAGAAAAAAAGAACGAAACAATTATGTAAACAAGTAAACTGAGAAACAAATAACCCAACAATTATGAGAACAGGGATTTAATCATGTGCCTAAAGAAAATTTACAGAGCAAAAATCTTTTTATCTGGCAATCTTGAATATGCTATTTTCAAAAGGTCAATTCTAGAGATTATGTTAATGTAATCTCAACAAAACAAAAGTTTCAACATCATTCCATGCATTATCAAATTAGTTAAAATATATTTTTAAAAAATTTAATTCATAAAACACTGATCACAATGTGTAATTTTTAACTCGCACGAATACGGATCGTGATGTGCGCTTTTAAAATCCCGCTAGTACAAACCGCAATGTATGATTTTCAAAGCAAACAAACGTGGATCACAATGTGTGATTTTTTTAAATCACACAATTGCCGATCCTGATGACTGATGAGATGTGGATCATGATGAAAAACTGATGACTGATTTTTAAATAACACGAATATGGATCGCGATGTATGATTTTCAATACACGTGAAGACAAATTGCAATATGGGATTTTTTAGTAGCGTGACAGGATTAAAGGCTCCAATACTCAAAATTCAATTGATGAACTGGGAGTTTCCATGGTTTTTTAGCATTTATCACCGAAAATCATGACTTCCCATGGCAAATTTCGATCAAGGTCGAAAACCATAGGATTTTTAGTGACCTTCCAGGTGTTCGAACACCCTATTTCTAATCGAAATTGGCAACAACAAAAAATATATAACTCCTTGGTGCAATATTTCATACAACGGCTTCTTCCAAATTAAATTGACATGAAGCATATGTTTTGATGCTAATGTTGCATTAAAATCAGACAAATAATAAATAAGCATGAAAAAATACAGACATGAGTATATAATTTAGTAACACAAAATATATTGTTTGAAAAATTTGAATAAATAAAATATGTAACAAATGATAAATATAACAACACAAACTATGTAAAAGTAAGTAGAATTGTAAATGTAGATTTTTCACAATTCTCCTTAAATGTTAAATGAGAACTTTTACTTACTTTACTCATCTTAACATGGTTTTCTTTAATTCTTTCTTTTACAAGTCGAATTAAATCAGTAATGTTGTAAAATTCAGCTTCTTCCAACACTCCTTTTGAGAGAGTAAAAGGTTCATTAAAATTATGAAAATTATCAAGAAATATTAATATGTAGCAGAAAATGCCTACATTAAAAAATAATGTGATGAAATGACATGTATTTTCACTCTCATTGAGTGACTTTTAAGTAGGGATAAGCTTTAATTTTAAAACAAAACATAACTTCTAGTATACAGCTAAAAATACTAAAATATTGTAGATACTGATACAGTAGGGAACCGATTATCCGGAACGATCGGGACCATCGACATTCCAGATCACTGATTTTTCCGGTTTTCTGTATCGCTAAAAAAAGCCGTTTTTTTTAGTGTTAAACCCAACTAAAAAAAAAATTGGAAATAATCTTAAAAATTAAAAACGATGAAGTAATAGATTAATGATTATTTCCGAAATGATGGTAAGGTAAACATCTTTCAAAAAAGAACGAAAAATCCTAAAATCTTATGAGGAAAAAAAAATTTATTTTTTTTAAAATGGCGGGAAAATTTATTGAATTTTGTTCCGGTTTTTTGGTTTTCCGGTTTTCGGATCTCNAAAAATGGCGGGAAAATTTATTGAATTTTGTTCCGGTTTTTTGGTTTTCCGATCTTAACGGGTTCTGAACTGTAATTTCTAAATTACATGGTACAATTTTTCATTTGTTGGGTACCTGAGGATTGTGTGTAATACATGAATGTAACTTCTTTACTCAATCAATAAAAAAATGCAAGAATTCAATTCACATTATTGGATTTAAAAGTAAAACCTATCAATAAACTGGGGAAGGGAAAAAAAACAGTGATATCAATGGTACTAAAACAAAAAAATGTGCACTAAAATGAATAATATCAATTACAATAATTGCAATTGACTTTAATCTCAGATTGTTCAGTTCATTAACAAAATAAATAATAAATATTAACTTTAATCAGAGAATTTATTCATTTTACTAATGGTATTCAACATTATTTTTCCTTGCTGGGTAAAAAAACAACAACATATTACTGATCTCTCTTTAGCTTTAGAAGTTAAGTTGAAAATTCAGTTATTTTTCAGTTTTACAATCTTTTTCACATGGTTTTTAAAATAACAATATTTCTAATAAATTATTACAGCATGTAGATTTAAAAATGTGGCTAATAACTATTTGATGATCAGTTCGCAACTATGTTATCGTAAATCGGAGTAATTTGTTTAAGTTTTCTCAGCAGTTATTACAGTCTTATTATACATTAAAATTTACACATCATTTAAAAAATCTTGATACAATTTCTACCATTGCATTTAGAATGGCACATTTGAGTATTTAATATTTACCATTCAGTGATAGTTTTATTGCAATAAATTGCACATTAAGTTGAGTTCTCTGTATCACAAAATATATTGTGTTTCTGTTTCAAAAAATGCTTATCTGTACCCTGATTCTTAGTTGTATTTTTAAGCACTAACAAACTTTGCTATAGTCATTGCGAAATGAAACCATGTTAGAATTAATTTTTTAAAAAATTAAATCTTGGAGGAACTCTTAATTGTACTTACACATATACTTATACCTAAATAAGTATTATGCAATTATTAGCTTCAAAAAAACATGAATAAAAATTTCCTACATTAATATTGTCAATATACTTTGTTTTTTAAAGAGAGTAAGAATCTGGCACATCTAAAAACTAACCTTCTTCAGCTAAATTTTTATTAATAACAAGCTTTCCATGGCGCAAATAATTCAAGATTGGCCCAAAATATGAAGGATCTCGGTCAATCAAATATGCACCAGTTTCATCCTACAAAAAGAAGAATTATGGTTTTAAAAAAATATCTATTTAAATTTTCTAATAAAAGAAATAAAATATTTTAGTTTGATTCCAATTAATTACACAAATATAGTTTGAATATAGGAAAAATAGAAATGTTTCCACTTCAATTATAACACTATAAATCAGGGTTGGCAGGTTTTTGACATGTGACAGTTTTTNTCAACAAAAACCTTAAGCAGGAATTTGAAATCAATTATACGGTTTCAATTATATTAAAGGCATTAATAGATAGTAAGTGTTTGACAAAAGGTGCATAACTATTATAAGCACACTATTTAATTCAATATTGTTAAAACTAGGACCGGATAATACATCAGAAAATACTGATTTTATTCAATCATTGCCGAACCGACATTTGGATTGACATATTTTTTTTCCTTTCAAAGTATTGGAAATTACAATTCACCCGCAATGTGCGTGATGCTGCCTGGTGCAACTTTAGACATTGATGCCTATGCGCACGATGGAGACCATTGTTCCCGTAAGTGCATAGATGGTTTTAAGCGTGCATGATTCAATTTTCCCAATCAGACATTGATGATCATGAGTTCACATTAAGAGCTTTTTCCAATGAGTGTCGTAGGAGAGCAATCGATGAGACAATTATTTTATTCTATGTTTCTTCTATTGTGACTCATCAAGCACAAATAGAGGTTTGGCAGAAACTATGAATTCCGATATGACTGCAAATAAGTGAGAATTGAAGTGTATTTTCTCTCAGTTGTCAAAACTTTTCTTTTAAATATACAAATCCCCTGACAATGATTTTTTTTACAATCAATCCAGTCGTTTATTATTGTTTTGCAGCTATTTTGCAGACATCCAGGTCTTTATTGAGAAATAATATTCATTGTCAGAAAATATGTAATGTTTAGTTTTTTAAAAATTCAACTTTCTTTTCATTCAATGATTTGTTTGACTTTTTAATGAGTTCTGTCTTCCCCCATAAATACTGATAGAAATGTACTAAACTTACAATGAGTGAATCAGAAGTTACCTTTTTTCATCAGCTGCCCCATTCTTTCGCAATCCATCTAAAAGCTTTTTATTTTTTTGTTAATATCTATGTTGCCTCATAGTGCATCTAAATTTTGATCTTACATTTATAATTAATTAAAAACAAAATCTGCAACAGGTTAATTTCTACTGCACGTGCACGCTTCCTTCCCACATAGATTGTTAAGGTTTTTATTAACTTTTTTTTTTTTTAATTGTTAGGATTTTTTTGACAATTTTTTGTTTGTTGGGTACCTGAGGATTGTGTGTATTACATGAATGTAACTTCTTTACTCAATCAATAAAAAAGTGCAAGAATTCAAATTACACAATATACCAAACGTAAAACAATGTAACAAAACATTGTGATGTATCAAAATATCACGATGTTAGAGTGACAATACATTTTAACATCGTGACGTCTTAACATTATCCAGTCCTGATTAATACAATTAAAAATTGTAACTGACCGAAATCTTTGGCACCTTTATAACTCATAAACACATCTATGGATTTTAAAATGACTGTTCAACTTTCTTAAAAACAATCAATAGTTCAAGCGTAAATTTGACAAAGCAAAATAAATAAAAATTAATATTATTAGTAATATCTTCTTTCTGAAGCATACTTAAAATTTAATTTACAATGGTCTAATTTACAAGAAATAAGAATACAAATGCATAATCGTGCATCTCTTCAATGTAATATATCTCTTCAATGTAATCTCTTCAATGTAAGTATTTATAACCTAATTTATAAATTATAGTTAAAACAATTACAAAACCAACAATAAAAAAATTTCAAATTATTTTCTTGCTAGAAGACGGGACAGTAAGATTATTAAATGACAATGTCTGGCATCTAATAATTGTTTTTCATCAGTCCTAACACAAGATTAGATTTGTAAAAAATCAGTTCTTCTGAATTCTTTTAAGGGCAAGTAGCACTGAAATTCACCCAAGCAAGTGTTGCCAATTATAATTCCAATATAAATATCAATCCTCTTGGGCATATTAGCATAGGATATTTCTATCATCAATACCTGTACTACTATTGCCAAGGTGCCAAAAGGTTTTCTAATTTATTTAAAAAACCTTAAAGAGATTTTTTTTTCTAATTTGGCAGAAATTAAAAATAAGAAAGAGAGAAAGAAATATGTAGTGGTTGGCCCAGGGGTAGCTACAAGTTAGTGTCCTTCTATGAAAAGTCTGCAAAAGAAGCAGAAATCCACTAATCAAAACTGAATTATTGAATACTATTATAAAATCAACCAAACCCCTAAGACTTTAACAATGTATGATGTTAAAAACTATAGCATTATGGAAAAAAACTTCCAATATTGAATACAATAATTATTCTGAAAGAAAACAAAGCTATTGGAATATGGGGAAATACTACCAAAAAGATGGGTAAAAAAATAATGTTTATAGTGATAATGTTTACATTGTTATTAATAAATAATATTATTGCCTTCAGAGTTATTAGAATCAATCTCAATCAGAATTTAATAAAATACATATAATTAGCATACATTGCTATAATTCGTATAACATATTTTACATGATTTAAAATTTTAGAGCAAACATAAACTTCCTGCACAAAATTCTTACAGACTGACAGAGGATACGTGGATAAACTTGAACAGACGTGTTAAGAGTTACTTCTAAAATTAAGGATTTCAAACTTAACTCAAACATATTAACTTCATATATTAATTCATGAAATCTCACTTTATCAGAGTTCAAATCTGGATCTTCTTGGCACAACCGGTAGAGAAATGAGTTGGGGTCACGGCAAAGAGTAGTTTTAGTAGTCAGAAAGTACGTTCCACCTACATTTAACCTAACCCATTGCGTCTTGCGATTGGCTTTTTCATCCGCATCCTCAAAAGATTCTGAATCATTTCGATCACTGTGGTTGAGATAATGCTTAGTAGCCATTACTTCCAAATGTTTGTTTATCGATTTTGGAAAATCTCTATCTCTAAACAAAATTTGTGACAAGACAGTTAGCGGTTGTAAGAAAATCCACAGTTTAAATTTAAAAAAAAAAAATAGGAAAAAATAATGTTTAATTTTTAATCCAAATTAATTTAATCTATGGAATAATTCTCCTTTTTTTTCTTTTGAAAAATTATTGGAAATTCATTTCAAAGCTAAAATCTAACTAAAACGGTTTTAACGTAGATGGGAGTTTCATCCGACGAAATGGGCTGAAGGTGGCGTAGGGCAGAACTCTCTACCAATGGCAGCATTTTGCATGCTTTCCCTGTGTTTTCGACACTAGGAAGCGCTGCAAGCTGTATGCCGCTTATACTTCCGGGTTACTGCTTCCGGTGTATTTCAAAGTCATTTGGCTCACAACGTGATCATTGTGTTTTAAGATTCCTGCAAACGTAGTACTTGAATACTTATTACTAAACTTAATCTTGCTCCTCGAACAATATGCTAACACTAACGTAAGATGGTGCACAGCTTGCAATGCGAACCAACAGTAATAAACAAATGGAAAGAGGCCAAATCAAGACTGCCAAAAAAGCTAGCTATTCAAAATCTAGCAACCATGTCACCTTTTTCAACAATATATCTCTGAATAACTAATGCAAATTTTCACTTCAAACTCACCAGAATTGCATAATAACAGTAATATCTTATGAAATACGGCAGATTTGAGCTCAGAAATTATCTAATTTAATTCTTTTATTGAAAACAAAATTATCCGTTTGAAAATATTGCCTCGCACAACAACATGTGGTAAGCAGCAGCAAACTTTCTAACCGGAACTAGAGCAGGCATAGAGCTCGAGATTGTTATTGTTTACATTTCTACTGAAAACTCCATCCATTAGTGTGTGGAGAGTCAGAGAGGAAAGAAGTACGCTAGTTTCTCTCTTGATTTTCATATAGATTAAAATCTTTTAAGTTGAAAAACTATATGGAACTGAAAACTACATTAAACATAGTTCTAAAGAAAAGCATCACAGAAATTTAAAAAAATATTTTTACTAAATAAGAAGGAAATATATTATGAAAAGAGAAAATATCGTAGCGCATTCTTATACAACTGGAAAGAGGAGGAGAGGGAATAGAGAAGGGCCAAAGGCATGAAACCGGTCTCACCCCAGATGGCGTATTCGAGCGCTGCGATCGCCAATTCAGTGATCACGTTGCATGAAAAAAAAATCACGGATGCGAATTCAGAGACGAGATTCGTAAGTTCATTCCTGGGTAAACGTATTCTCATAATCAGGTTTTAATCCGCATTTTCAAATTAGCATTGTTCCGCATCAACGATCAGTTGTTGTTGTTGTTACTTTACGTCGCACTGGAGCTGCACAATGGGCTATTGGCGACGGTCTGGGAAACATCCCGGAGGATGATCCGAAGACATGCCATCACAATTTTGATCCTCTGCGGAAGGGATGGCACCCCCGCTTCGGTAGCCCGACGACCTGCGCGCGAAGTCGAGCACTTTACGGTAGCACAGTTTAACGAGGACCAATACCGCACACCCTC